GGTGACACCGTCTTTTGGCGTCACAATACCAGAAAAGGTTACACCAAGCACCACTTTGGAGTGCGTACTTGTACGGCATTAAGTTTTTCCGACGGAGTTAGGAAGTCTTTTTTACCAGTACGCCAATGGTGTTTAAATGTCTGCCGCGTGATCTGTCTGTGGGCCCCCAGACTAGCAAGCACTTCTACAGAGAGTGATGAGCTTCTTGCTTAGGAAATAGTGGGTGAAAAAATTGTGACAGCCTTTGATATCAAGATCAGGACCTAGCAACAAGCAGTTGCCTGTCTAGGGCTTATTCCTAAATAGCCATAGAGTGACCCTTGCCTGTTCAGCCTAGTCCCTCCTATTCAGTAGCCAAAAAATAATTGGCAGCGAACACCCCCCCCCCCCTACCCTCGCATCTAAAAAAACTAAATATAAATAAAACCACCATCACAGATAATGTCAAGGTGTTGTGTGACATTTGTTCATAGCATACCGCACCCGGCTAAGGTAAATAATATTGTCACGGCTAATGCCGTGCTTTCTTCATTTTAAAAGCACACTTCGCGCTGAAGTCAAAAACAAGACAAGAAAGCACCAGGGATAAAAAAGCCTGAAAACCCGATACCCTGAAAATTAATGCTACTCGGTTGTTTTAGGCTGAATGAATTAGTTTCGGATTATCGGTCCCATCCGGTGTGCGACTTTCTACACAGCCCTGGTCGTTATCAGGTGTTACTGAATCCTGGGAATAAATCGATGACATTCAAAATTCAGCCTCGCACGCACCACAACCTGAAGCTTTTGGGGCAATTTCTGGGATTCGAACCGGGTTTTTCCGCCTCCGGGAGGGCAAAGGGCATTGAGTTCCTTTTCACTGGAAAAGGCAAGCTCCCTCCAGGTTAGCTCAGTGGTAGGAGGCTTCCGCCGAGCGAATTCCGGCTGAGACTCAGCCATAACTAAAATCTAAACACCATCGAGTTCTTCTCAGTGCTCAATATCATAGGACGACGGCTGGGGAGATGACTGGCTAAAACGCAATGGAGGCAAAAGCATGCTCTGGTGGCCAGAGAGCAGCCGTAATCAAGCGCTCATGGAATAAAGAAATATCAAAACATGATGTGTACTTTTGACCAAAGCCATGGCGTGTGTGTTCCATACCTTCCGTTGTTTCTTAGACATGGTGTTTCTCTGTTACATCCCCATGTAATCTGTACGTGCAAAATCCTACTCAATCGAGTTTTGTTTTATTCAACTCTGTCACGCACTCTGGTGTAACATTTTCAAGCTTGTCAGTTTTGCTCCACCGATGTTTTTTGATTAATGAATAGTAAGGGAGCAGACCCGAAAGCCACTCCCATGGACATCTGGAACAGCTGCAGCACGCAAAAAAATAAATCGCCACGTGAAGAGAAATGCAGTGCCTCCCCTCAGCAACGTCTTCGCATGCAGTTGGCAAGCATGGTCCCTGGGCGTGTTAAAGCAGCAGACTATTAACCACCTACTGGGCTACTGTTTAAAACCTCGCCACGTGATGCTATATTTGTTACAGTTATGCTCGCTCAGCTAGCACCGTCATGCACCCATCACACAGCGCTTTGTACTGCCACGCTCCGGACGCATCTCGCTCGCAGCGACTCTGGGCGCAACATCTGGTGTGCAATCGGCCGATGGTTGCCGCTCACCGCCTGCCATCATCGACAGTCACGCACGGACGACGTCCGCCCAGTGCAGCGACGGGCGGGGCACGTCGCCACACGTACCCCCTAGCGTCGGCAGACAGTGTCCACACGTACCCCCTAGCGTCGGCAGACAGTGTCCACATGTACCCCCTAGCGTCGGCAGACAGTGTTCACATGTACCCCCTAGCGTCGGCAGACAGTGTCCACACGTACCCCCTGGCGTCGGCAGTTAGTGTCCACATGTACTCCCTGGAGTCGGCACTCAGTGCCCACAAGTCCCCCCCCCCCCCCGGCGTCGGCAGTCAGTGTCCACGCGTACCCCCTGGCGTCGGCAGTCAGTGTCCACCCGTACCCCCTGGCGTCGGCAGTCAGTGTCCATGCATACCCCCCGGCGTCGGCAGTTAGTGTCCACACGTATTCCCTGGCGTCGGCAGTCAGTGCCCACACGTACCCCCCGGCGTCGGCAGTCAGTGTCCACACGTACCCCCCGGTGTCGGCAGTCAGTGTCCACACGTACTCCCTGGCGTCGGCAGTCAGTGTCCACGCGTGCTCCCTGGCGTTGCAGTCAGTGTCCACACGTATTACCTGGCGTCGGCAGTCAGTGTCCATGCATACCCCCTGGCGTCGGCAGCTAGTGTCCACACGTTCTCTCTGTCGTCGGCAGTCAGTGTCCACACGTACCCCCCGGCGTCGGCAGTCAGTGTCCACACGTTCTCTCTGTCGTCGGCAGTCAGTGTCCACACGTACCCCCCGGCGTCGGCAGTCAGTGTCCACACGTACTCCCTTGCGTCGGCAGCGTCCACCTGTCGGCGCGCGGTGACGGCGGCGGCGCGTCCGGCGGGCGCCGCACCAGAGGCATGCACGAGGAGCTGCGGAGCGCGGCACAGCACCGTTACCGCCGCGGGCGCGCCCATCACGCCTGGCGACCACGGGACACCGAAGCAGGACGCCAGGGGGCGGGGGTTTGGCGGCGGCGGTGGCTGACGTCCAGCGGTCAGCCGCCGACGGGTTTGACGACAGGCAGTGGTCAGCTGTCGAGGG